GTGGATTCGAACCCCAGATTCGTTCTAATTATATCTCCAGGTTTGTCCCACCATCCCCGGACTCGTGGACGTCAAAGAGCTGCATCACTTTGGATTTTTCTCCAACATTAGGCGTACATGGTACAAGGGTAACAGACTAATAATTCGTTTAAAAAAGTTTAGAATTTTGATGGACACAAACAACATTTTAAATTGAAGTGATGAAAGATTCGGAATTTTGAATCTGTGGAAAGTACAGATTTGTTTAATTAAGGACTAGTATTTATTTCATTTAGCACTGTAGTACGTTATTGGTGGAAGGGAAAATAATATGTTTCATGAACTGTCAGACTATTACTGACATTGTGGTCAAAGCTGCTTAAAACCACACCCGCTTATTCATTCTTTGGAATATAAAGCGCCTAGATTAGATAACATCTAGTCTCTGAAATGAGCATACCTTACAGACAAACGGCTCATATTCACACAAGAAAGTTGAAAGAAGCCCCGTTACTTTTACGGAACTGTTGTAGACTTGCGAAGAATTCTAGACTTGCATGGACTGTATTGGGTGTGTTTGGTTCAGGGTCTGTATAACAGACTTGTATTGCTATAACTGTTCTAATCTGATCTGAACCTCATGTGTACTAGAATTGTTTCCATGATTCACTAAACTGTCTTCCTAAACTGCAACTGTGCATTGTAAAGTGGGAACTAAATGTGACAACGTAGCTCCCAATGTAACAACAGCATTGTGTTTTGTGGAGCGGTGGGGTAGCCGAGTGGTTAAAGCGTTCGCTCGTCGATTCCTACACTAATGCATAGTCTGTGAATATATATAATTTTCAGAACAACAAATAATTCCTTTTAAATTGAAATGAAGCCACACTATTTATATTTTCGTAATAATAATATATGTACATGCTCCCGTACCACCATCGATAGTGATTTAATAATTCCGAAGTCACACTGACACAATCTCTTCCCAACAACATTTCGTTACATATGTTCACAGCATGCTACTGATTTAAAAAAAAAATAAATAAATCCTCGTCGACCTGGTGACCACGTGTTGACCAAGGTATAACCTGACCCCTGAAGGTCCGGGCTAGAATTGATTTTCAGTAACCCATGCTTGTCGTAAGAGGCGACTATCGGGATCCAGTGGTCAGGCTCGCTGATTTGGTTGACACATGTCATCGGTTCCCAATTGCGCAGATCGATGCTCATCCTGTTGATCACTGGATTGTCTGGTCCAGACTAGATTATTTACAGACCGCCACCATATAGTTGGAATATTACTGAGTGCGGAGTAAAACTAAACTCACTCACTATCCAGAATCTCCGGGAAGATACCTCAGAAATCATCTGACTTCATCGGCAAATGTTTGGAACCTAAAGGTCTTAAAGGAGAATACGAACGAAAACAAAACTTTTGATATATTGTAAAGGATATTCTAAAAGTCACCTTCCGTGATTAAAAGTGAACAAAAAGTTTGTAAAATAGCAATAAAAACACAAAAAACGTACTCGTATTTCCGCCTATTAGGGAAAATAGCGAGTCTGGTGCCGACGTGCGTAACTGGACAAAATGGAAAACAATGAAAGCAACAAGTACTTCATGATTTGCCATTGTATTCGGCAATGTTTCAGGTAGACTGCAGCATTTGTCTGGTCCAGACTCGATTATTTACAGACCGCCGCCATATAGCTGGAATATTGCTGAGTGCGGCGTAAAACTAAACTCACTCACTCACTCAAGGTATAACCTTAGTTAATCTTGACTGACCAATGTTAGCATATGTTAAAAACTCACTTACGTCAGGCTTCGACTGAACCAAGCTGCACGGATGCTGAATCCCTGGTGTGTAGAACTCTGGTATAAGTGTACAAGTGACGTCATCGGCAGCTTACTGTTTGGATTATGAACACATTTTGTTTAAGGATTATAGTTAATTTGGTATTGATATTATATACACATTCCGATATGCACCAGGCAATTACTTTGCCCATACCAATATTTTAAATCACATTGCAGCATTGAGAAGGATTTTGCGTCTCTGATGTTTTTTACAAATTATTTTGAACTTTCTCGTTTTGCGTCCATTGTATAGAAAAGGTACAATGGCAGTTTGTCAAGAAATGTTATCTTCTCAGTTGTGAGATTCTGGCTGAATCAAGTCGTCCCTGGTTTCCAAAAGTTGTTGTTATTCAATAATCGAATGCACGTAGTGTTGATAGGACCGGTTTACACATTATGCAAATTCAGCAGGTATCGGGAAGCCAGCTGTCGTTAATGCATATTTAAGTGAGTGATATCAATATGGTTTAAGGAACACATACTTTATACTGTTTCGGTTATACTGCATTTTCCTGCACAGTCTTTTCCTCGTTTTCCAAAGGACACACAAGTTTGTGACGATGCAGTTTTCAATTTTATATTCAAACAGTACCTAGATTTAACTCTATTATGAATAATAGTGAATTATTCATGAAATTGTTTTAGAGCAAACGTTTTTCTTTTTCCGTTTGAAAGGGTATCTAAACGACGTCAATCTAAATACAGAACACTGTGTTGTAGTCAGTCTGGCGCTCAGTGACCTATCGTCTAACAAATACAGTAAGAACATCAGACGGGCTATTACTGCAATCAGGACCGATGCATCCTTGCCTTCTTGTATAACGGGGGAACGCATCCTTGCCTCCTTGTATAACAAGGGGACGCATCCTTGCCTCTTGTATAACGGGGGAACGCATCCTTGCCCCCTTGTATAACGGGGAAACGCATCCTTGCCCCTTGTATAACGGGGGAACGCATCCTTGCCCTTTGTATAACGGGGGAACGCATCCTTTTCCCCCTTGTATTACGGGGAACGCATCCTTGCTCGCATCCTTGTATAACGGGGAAACGCATCCTTGCCCCTTGTATTACGCCCCTTGCCCTTGTATAACGGGGAACGCATCCTTGCCCCTTGTATAACGGGGAAACGCATCATTGCCCTTGTATAACGGGGAACGCATCCTTGCCCCCTTGTATAACGGGGAACGCATCCTTGCCCCTTGTATAACGGGGGAACGCATCCTTGCCCCTTGTATAACGGGGAAACGCATCCTTGCCCCTTGTATAACGGGGGAACGCATCATTGCCCCTTGTATAACGGGGGAACGCATCCTTGCCCCTTGTATAACGGGGGAACGCATCCTTGCCCCTTGTATAACGGGGAAACGCATCCTTGTCCCCTGGTATAACGGGGGAACGCATCCTTGCCCCCTTGTATAATGGGTAAACGCATCCTTGCCCCTTGTATAACAGGGAAACGCATCCTTGCCCCCTGGTATAACGGGGAAACGCATCTTTCCCACCCTCGTAAACCATGAACATCTATGACTCTCTCCCATGTATTCATGGTCACACAACCCTGCCTTCTTTGTATAACGTAGTTGTTGATGTACCCTAGAACGCGTGTGACATCATCAGGTCGCCATTCTCTACTGTCACTCCCCCTTCCTGCGTCACAAAGGCTTCTTTGCACGGGGCACGTCTCAAATTCTGTGCCATCATTTGAGATCATTGTTGATTATGTTTGCCGGATTAAGTTCTGTGGATTCCGGTTTAACATGTCCACTGAAGCCAAGGTCTGTGGTTAAGGTGCTGAATGGATCCAGTGGTCAGGTCCGGTGACTAGGGTCATGACGTGTTATCTACTCCGATGACGTGAAACGCGCTCATGATATCAATCATTGGTTTGTCTGGCCCAGTCGCGATGTTAAAGGCCAAAATGATCAAGATGAAATAATGATGACTCTGACAATAGAGGGGCGGTGGTGTAGCCTTGTGGTTAAAGCGTTCACTCATCACTCCGAAGACCGGGTTCGATTCCCCACATGGGCAAAATGTGTGAAGCCCATTTCTGGTCCCCAGCCGTGATATTGTTGGAATATTGCTAAAAGCGGCGTAAAACTCACTCACTCACTGACAATAGATAACAAACAATTGGTCAAGAATTGGGCGATTTAAGTTTTAAAAAGCGTGTCTAAAATAATAATGATAATAATAAAACCGATAATAAAAGACCCTGACCTAATGGTTGGCCTAACTAGCCTGACCGTGCCTGGACCACTCAACCTCTCTCTGCTGCATTTTATCTAAATATGTAAAACGACGACAACAACAACAGTAGATCATTATCGCGTTTAATTACGTTTAGATGGCCATGAGACCAACAGTACAACATGTGTAAAACAATTAGACAAAAATATGTATATGCGCCATACTTAGAACATAGATCTATTACATCAATAGATATGATTTTGTGTTCACAGATTTTTTGTTTCGATCGAAGTACAAACACTTTATAAAGAAAGAGTCTTACAAAGTCTTAAGAGTGTATTCTTATCACTTGTTCTCATCAATTCGATAAACATTTGAACAACAGTAGATCAGCGTACAATCAAATGTTATTCTCAGCTCCCTGAGGAGCGCAGCTGACAATTACCGAAGGTTGGTATGTTATAATGTTGAGATTGCCCCCTTTACCCGAGATAATGAGGTAATGTTGCGTGGTGGATTTACGACATCTCTCTCCTCATGTAGAAACACACCTAATAGAGCCGAATATGCTGTGCATGACGTCGTAGCTCCAATTACACAACGCTTAACTGCTCCGTCCCTCGCTGGATCATTAATGTGAGTGACAACAGGCACAGTAAAGGTCTGTTCTTTTATGGATAACAACGTCTTTAATGTATTAGGATGCAACGTGTCGGTATAGACCCGTATATTATTGTCAATCAAGGCATCTTCGCACCCTTGCCAAACAAGGTATCCTTACACCGCTGTCAAGCAAGGTATCCTTATACCGTTGTCAAGCAAGGTGTCCTTATACCGTTGTCAAACCAAGGTAACCTTACACCGTTGTCAAGCTAGGTATCCTTATACCGTTGTCAAGGTAACCTTACACCGGTATCCTTATATCGTTGTCAAAGCAAGGTATCCTTATATCGTTGTCAAGCAAGGTATCCTTACACCGTTGTCAAGCAAGGTATCCCTATATCGTTTTCAAGCAAGGTATTCTAACACCGTTGTAATGCAAGGTATCCTTATACCGTTGTCAAGCAAGGTATCCTTATACCGTTGTCAAGCAAGGTATCCTATACCGTTGTCAAGCAAAGGTATTCTAACACCGTTGTCAAGCAAGGTATCCTTACACCGTTGTCAAGCAAGGTAACCTTACACCGTTGTCAAACAAGGTATCCTTATACCGTCAAGGCAAGGCCAAACAAGGTATCCTTACACCGTTGTCAAGCAAGGTATCCTTACACCGTTGTCAAGCAAGGTATCCTTATATCGTTGCCAAGCAAGGTTTGTCAAGCAAGGTATCCTTATACCATTGTTAATCAAGGCATCCTCGTTTGTCACACAAGGTATCCTTAAACACCGTTGTCAAGCAAGGTATCCTTACACCGTTGTCAAGCAAGGTTATATCTTTGTCAAGCAAGGTATCCTTATATCGTTTTCAAGCAAGGCATCCTTACACCGTTGTCAAGCAAGGTATCCTTATATCGTTGTCAAGCAAGGTATATCCTTACACCGTTGTCAAGCAGGGTATCCTTATACCATTGTTAATCAAGGCATCCTCGTACCCCTTGCCAAACAAGGTATCCTTACACCGTTTTCAAGCAAGGTATCCTTACACCGTTGTCAAGCAAGGTATCCTTATATCGTTGCCAAGCAAGGTATCCTTACACCGTTGTCAAGCAAGGTACACCTATATCTTTGTCAAGCAAGGTATCCTTATATCGTTTTCAAGCAAGGCATCCTTACACCGTTGTCAAGCAAGGTATCCTTATACCGTTGTCAAGCAAGGTATCCTTATACCGTTGTCAAGCAAGTTATATCCTTACACCGTTGTCAAGCAAGGTATCTTTATACCATTGTTAATCAAGGCATCCTCGTACCCCTTGCCAAACAAGGTATCCTTACACCGTTGTCAAGCAAGGTATCCTTACACCGTTGTCAAGCAAGGTATCCTTATATCGTTGTCAAGCAAGGTATCCTTACACCGTTGTCAAGCAAGGTATCCTTATACCGTTTTCAAGCAAGGTATCCTTATATCGTTGTCAAGCAAGGTATCCTTATACCGTTGTCAAGCAGGGTATCCTTACACCGTTGTCAAGCAGGGTATCCTTATACCGTTGTCAAGCAAGGTATCCTTATATAGTTGCCAAGCAAGGTATCCTTACAATATTGGCAACTCGGGGCAGTACCAGAAATAAAACATATACTAGTATACAAAGAAGATACGATATGATACAAAATGGGTGCCTGGAGACAAAATAAATAGTGTCATGTGTATAGCATAACACACAACCATGAGTAGTTAACTTGTGCTTCATTGCCTGAAAAAGATGCTATTGTATTAGATTTCTATTCTGAAGTATTAAAACATAAAAGACCTACCTACCTACCTACATCCATCACCCATCCATTCACTCCTCCATCCATCCACTCATCCATCCATCCACCATCCACTCATCCATCCATCCATCCTCCTATCATCCATCGACCGCCTCCGTGGTGTAGTGTTAGAGCGCCCGCCCGGAGAGCGGAAGGTCGCGGGTTCGATCCCCGACCGCGTCATACCAAAATAAAATTAAATATGGTACTTGTTGGTCCCTGCCTGGCGCTCGGTATTAATGGGTACAACAAGGACAAGTCTGCTCGAGTCAGTATAATGTGTCTGAGTGGGGTATTCATGCTTCACTGTGGCATGGTATCTCAGTGGGCTAGCACTATAAAACCAGCTTAAGTCTGGGCTAGTACAAGCAGCCGCACATACACATACACACGCATGCACGTCGTCATATGAGCGAAATATTCTCAAGTACGACGTCAAACCCAATTTCACCACCTCACCTCACCTCACCTCACCCCACCTCCCCACCCCACCCCACCCCACCCCACCTCACCTCACCCCACCTCACCTCACCTCACCTCACCTCTATCATCCATCCCGTATATTTTCTCTACTAACGTAAACAGGTGCCTATTCATTTTACTGAAATTAACAACTACATTTTCCTGACATATATCAGGATACTTATATAATAGCAATGCCTACTTAATCTTGTATATCAAATGCTTCTATTAATGGCATCACCAAGTGACTTCACTTTGAGGCTGTTGATACGAGTACCGCACCCCAGGGGCCAGTGAGTTCGGCCTTCTTTGGTCTACCGATTATGTCGTGAATGCGTTTACATATGCTGTAAAACCAAGGTTAATTAACTTAGGTTATACATTAGTCAACAAGATTCAACGGGGTCGTCTAGGGTTTCGGCTCTGACGCCGGCACGCTGAGAGAATTATGTAACATGGAACGCTAGCGGTGACACTCGGAAGCTGGAACGCAATAGCTGACTTGTGCACAGATACTGCTGACGTCACATACTTACGTGTTTATGTTCGCATGCGAAGCTAATCACATTAGATACAGAATCTATCTATGTTCGGCTTTATGAAACGCCCACAGTGAGATTCCCGTTAATAGTAGTGTCATTGTCTCGGGATGTTATCTGTTACACATGGTACACGCTTCAGAGAAGACACGAGAAAAACTATACCCAAGGTCATAGCGTTCCACAACAGTAGTGAGTGAGTTTAGTTTTACGCCGCTTTTAGCAATATTCCAGCAATATGACGTCGGGGGACACCAGAAATTGGCTTCACGCATTGTACCCATGTGTGGAATCGAACCCGGGCCTTCGGCGTGACGCGCAAACGTTTTAACCAGTGGGCTACCCCACCTCCCCTCACCAACATTAATATGTCCATATATATAGATGAATATATGTTGATATTATCAGAACTACTTTTGATCAAGCTAAGTAAATATTCAAAAATGTGGCGCGTGAAGAGGAGCGGAGACCTTAAAGGAGAATACTAGGCAACTGCAATAATTTGCTGGATGAAAGATAAAGTCATGGTTTATTATGTTTTTATCGCGAAAACAGTTTCTGTTATCTGAGCTTCGGCCTTTATGCATATTCCGCTGGAACTCACGTGACCTTTCCGCTCGTGACGTCATATGTGACAAGCGTCCGCCATATTGCCAAAGAACAAGCGCTACGGTAATAAATCGTGTTGTTACTGTCGTTTTGTAAATGGTACGATGGTGTATTCCGTTGCCTGGGGGTGCACGGAATCATCGAACAATGGAAAGAGACACCATTTCTTCCGTTTTCCAGGTAAAGAGACAGATTTAGGCAGGAGAAATGTTCCGATCATTCGGAGTCGGACGCATATGAAAGAGACATGCACACATGGGGTATGAAAATCCAAATGCTAGACTGAAGAAGGAAGAAGTACCCACGAGATTCATTTATACTCCATCATTTCCTGTTACAACTTACTGTCAGTGGTATTTTTAACATAAGATAAAAGTACGATTGCCAGTCGAATTGCCCCCGCTACAGATTTCCCCAGCAAATTTAGTAAAATTGCCCCGGAGTTTTGTTCAAATTGCCCCAGGGGGTAGTCCAAATGCACCCAATTTATTTAAAAGGATTAAATATAGGCCATAAATGCATAGTTTTGTCAACTTTGATATTATGTTTTTTTATATAAAAGTATATACATAGTTATGAGTTTACTAATGGAACCTTTATCAGAAATATTTCTTCCTAATAACTGTTATATGAAGAACCTAATATCGAAGTTGACAAAAACTATGCATTTACAGCTTATATTTAATCAAATTTAAATACATTTGACCAGACCGCCTCCGTGGTGTAGTGGTTAGAGCGCCCGCCCGGGAGTGCGGAAGGTCGCGGGTTCGATCCCCGACCGCGTCATACCAAAAGACGTTAAAATATGGTACTTGTTGGTCCCTGCCTGGCGCTCGGCATTAATGGGTCGGCTCGGAGTACAATGTGTCTGAGTGGGGTATTCATGCTTCACTGCGGCATGGTATCTCAGTTGGCTAGCACTATAAAACCAGCTTAAGTCTGGGCTAGTACAAGCAGCCGCACATACACATACACACGCATGCACGTCGTCATATGAGCGAAATATTCTCAAGCACGACGTAAAACCCAATTCCACCACCACCACCACCACATTTGACCAAATTAAAATGAATGACCAAGTTTGCTGGGGCATTTTGTAGCTGGGGCAGTTCGACTGGTACCCATGAGATATATATTATCAAAATCAGTGAGAGATTTCACATAAGCTTGAACATGTTTCGCTATAACGATCTGTTCGGTTTGGAGCCCTAAATGCTGCAGTCTACCTGAAACATTGCCGAATACAACGGCAAATCATGAAGTACTTGTTGCTGTCATTGTTTTCCATTTTGTCCAGTTACGCACGTCGGCACCAGACTCGCTATTTTCCCTAATAGGCGGAAATACGAGTACGTTTTTTGTGTTTTTATTGCTATTTTACAAACTTTTTGTTCACTTTTAATCACGGAAGGTGACTTTTAGAATATCCTTTACAATATATCAAAAGTTTTGTTTTCGTTCGTATTCTCCTTTAAGACCTTTAGGTTCCAAACATTCTGGAGAGTGAGTGAGTGAGTGAGTTTAGTTTTACTCCGCACTCAGTAATATTCCAACTATATGGTGGCGGTCTGTAAATAATCGAGATTCTGGAGACGCGGAGCCCGCGATGCCCCATGAGTGGTATGGGAGATTTGGGGATTGGTTGGTTACATTCCCATCTGGGTAATTGTGTCTAATGCCTCTTCACATGTTATTTTAACAAAAACCGATATCTTGAGTCGAATACCAGATTCGACATGATTTTCATCCTTGGTTTCCCAAGCCGTGACCTTGAAGGTCTCTATACGGTGTTATGGACGACAAGACCACCTCGGTGGTCAAGCTGAGAGAACGTCTTCCCTGACAGCGGAAGGTCGTTGTTCCGATGTGTGCATTACGCAAAATAAACGTTACAGTAAGGTACTTGTTGTTACTGTGTCTGGCGCTTGGTATTAAGGGGTCGGTTCTCGGCCAGAACACTCTGTCTGAGTGGGGTGTTATTTTTTAACTGCAGCATGGAATTTCAGTGAGCTAGTACAATACAGCTATCGTTATGAAGAGGACACAAACAGACACACACACAGAGACAAAGACAGAGAAAGAGAGACATACACACATACACACACAGACAGACAGACAAACAAACACAAACTCACAAGAGAGACACAGACAGAGAAAAAGAGACATACTCACACACAGACAAACACAAACTCTCAAAGAGAGCCACAGAGGGAGAGAGAAAGAGACAGACAGAAAGACAAACACACATACATACACACATAGAGAGACACACGCACGCACGCGCACACGCGCACGCACACACACACACGATACGTGCAATAGTTTTGGACGCATTCCTCCTCACGCATATTTCAAACTTACATTTTCTTCTTACTTACAATCTGATCCTTGACTAGTTGTAAACGTGGTCAATCATACCTGTTTGGGCTCACATGCCAGAACACTGTGTACCTGGGTGTTGAGACTACACACACCTCTGTGTCAACACACAGTATGAAGGGCTGTCATGTGTAGTATATA